GCATATATTTCCAAGTCTAGATATGTCTTCGTGTATCTCACATCCATTGACTTATTAAACGATTACGCATGCTTCATGAAATATATTAAGCGAACGCGGCCTGTTAGGAAAAAATCAAAGCTTCCCCATCGACTCTAAATTCCATGAAATCCATTCATGCCATCACACCATACATCGCCATCTATCCATCCATCCATCCCATGCGCGAGTGACCGATGAAAAAAGCTGTACTACATATGTGTTTCACATCCATCCATCTGGCCAGTACCCGGCTAATCCAATAAGGTCCATAAATTCTTGTTCAGGAGACTCATTCCCTCACGCAAAGTGCCATAAGTCCATCAATCCATGCCATCCCATTGTTCGTATGATTGTGCCGTTGTAGACTTCATATTCTAGCCCCGAGTATCCAAAATGTCTCCATACTCGATCTAGAGCCAATACTTTTAGACTCAATCATATCTGAGGCGCCACTGTCCATTAGTAGTTCGTTTCCATCTGATCAATCATGCCATTCGGAATGAATCCCAATAGTATATAATAAATACCATATATATAATAAGCCAGTCCATATAGTAAGTATATATCGCATCCGATACCTAATCATACCTCTATTTTGATTACTCTTCGATATAATATATGAATCCATATAATAACCATTAATACCATCGCGCATTCTGTGACATTCTTACGAATGATTTTTGAAAATATGAGCCGTATGCGCGAGGTTAAATTCGCCCTATTGACACCATGGCCATGACATCCTTCGTATTTACTGGAAACCACAAGAGAATTCAACAATTCACCATCTCCTTTCAAATAAACAACGTAGAAATTGTTTCTTCACATGATATCCAAGTATGACGAACAAATCTCAATACGTGGCTGATGGCGAAACCTCTTTATAGGCAAAATCACCATCATGTCCAATCCATTTACCATTGCTCTCATGTGTGAAAAACCACGGACATGAGCCAACTCGCATATTCGTGCGTGCCATCGCGGGCCGCATCAGCGACGCCTAAAGGAAATGCGCGGTGCGCGTATGCCGTAATGCCGTAAGAGAATGGTAATAAGTTAGATAGTTGGCGATTGGTGAGCTTAATACCATCATGGCCCGGAGAATATCTAGCCCCGACCGCTACCCATGAACCATATTATTTCGAAGATTATAGGTTGATATTATTCCTGAGGGTAGAACGCTGGGGCCCATACGAGTAGCACACGGGTAAGGTTTCGCGATGGAGTAGTGATCACAATTGGAGAGAGCAATTAGGGTTGTAGAAACTGACATAAACCACACATCGACGTTCGAATTGTTCTCCGAGCGTTAAAAAATAATCTCCATGGCCATAATCAGCTAGTATCAGCCACACAAGTATAAATCGCACACACCTACAAACTATAATACCATTCCCATAATTATTTATCTGCGCCAGTCGCAACGCGAGTTTAGTCACCAATTAGCAACCACCACCACCAGAATTAATTAAGGCACATTTCAATGTATCTTTAAAGAAATTGATATTACAATAGCACAAAAAAACCAATCCATCCATACATCCATCCATACCTTAGTCATCACATACCCATACCATCTATCAATCCATCCACTCCCATTACCATCCATCCAAATTTTCATCCATGCCTATAAATACCATACCATTCATCCCACTCCATGCCATCCATACCATCATCCATCCATCCATCCATCCACATCCATCCATCCATCCATCATACCATGCCGATTCCACATCCATCATCCATCCACCCACCATCCACCATCCATGCCATCCTCCATCCATCCCATGCCATCGGCATGCCATCCATCCATCATACCATCCCTCCATGCCATGCCATCGCATCATACCATCCATCCACGCATGCCATACCATCCATCCATCCATCCAGCCCACCCCATCCATCCATCACTCCATTCCATGCCATTCCATCATACCATCGATCACATCCATCCATACAGTGTCCATCCATCCATCCATCCATGACCATCGCATGCCATCAACATCCATCAATCCATACCATCCATCCATCCATCCATCTCATACCATCCATCCATCCATGCCATCCGATCCATGCCATCCACCATCCATCCATCCATCACCATCCATACCATCCATCCATCCAATCATCCATTCGAGTGGCGCGAGTCCATGCGCATCATCCAATACTCATCTCATCCAACCAATTGTCGGGGGGTGGGGGGGCGTCTCCAGTCTGCCCGCAGTCTATCAACTTGTATCATCCATATCATTCATTACATCCACTGTTATAGTATAACTTAATTATTATGAGAATGTATCAAACTCTTTTACTATGGCGATATTTTTGTAGAAATTGAGCAGTCGATTGAGTAAAAATTAGGTCATGCCTTTAATCAATGGAATTGCATAATAGTGAAATTATATCTAGATAATAATCTAATATATGCTACTTCTTGCCATTAATTGCACATGGTGTCTCGATCTTGCATAATTCATGCTAATCATACATAATACGGTAAAATTCCCTTTCAGTTGGTCATAATGCTATTCGCCTACTGCGGCATCTTTGGTGAGTAATGCCTTGCTATTAAATATCTACTAATTTCAATTATTGAAATTGCCACGGTTACGCATGTCGTTTCTAATTGCATAATGTAATAAAATACATAATTTCCAATAATTTTTATATATCAAAGCTTATTTAAAAACGCCATAGCCAACATGATTTATTGATTTTTATCCTGGCTAAGGTGATGCTTCCCATTCTCTCGACTATATTAACATATAACCTGAAGTGAGTAAAATAGGCTAAAACAAAGCATATTTGTATGTTTTTTAATCCTGTTATCATCGTATTGCACGTGTTCAAATAAATCAGTGTACACAATAGTGAAGACTTCACACTACATAACCTACTAACGTGAGCATGATTAATGTTGATAATATCAGAAGTAGATAATAGGGATAATAGTCCCTATTATCTACTTCTGATAATATGTGGCTGCCGCGCTAACACTGCAATCTGAACGTCGTTAAGCGAAGTTATCATGGGCACATATAATAAAAAATAAAAAAGGTTATATGATGATGGTGTAGAAATGAATTATAATCTTAAATGAAAGTAACCGATTTTACTGTTAAGAAACATCTCAGTATGTCGAAGTGTCGACGAGGGTTCCGGGAACCTCTCCTGCTGTCTATTCCAAGTCCTCAGCATTATCGTTTAGCAACCGATGAACTTATTTTAATGTTTCAGGTGTGTTTTTATCACAACGTGTAACACGTACTTTCTTTTTTTATTGAGGCGTGGATGCGACACAATGGATCTCTGACGTCACTATTCCCATGAGTGCAACATCTGAATTCACGGGCGAGGTTGCCGAAGCAAACCAAGGCAGCAATTGTCCCGCCTCGGTGCACTGCATTAAAAATGCCATGGATAACAACCCCATGACCAAGTGGATTGCTAATTCCAGCGCAAACGAGGAGATTGCGTTCGACGTCCTAACGCCGATATACTTAGACGCTATTTGCATTAAATACTCAGAAGGTAGAATTGGTAATATCAGTATTTCTGTTAAAACGCAACAAATGCATTCCTGGATTTACGTTACACCGTTGCTTCTATTAAATAGCACTGGTTACAGCGTACGATACCTCATCGCAAATCTCGAACTACCATACGAGTTTCGCTACTTCAAGATTTCTATCCTAGACACGTACGCAGCGGAAATGAATATTGGAATCTCGGATATTTACTTTCGGATAAAAGGTAAATCTAGGAACGTTTCCGTGAGAGCTCTACTGAGTACACGACCTCGTCCGTAGCCACCTAGCGGTGACTTCTGCTAGTTCTCGCAAACCAGCCGAAATTCGGTACTAATGGTTAGTGAATATTTCGACTCAAATGCCCCTTCTTTTGGTAACTATGGGGTTTCTGTAGTCATCGGTTGATGTCTATTTTTACTGGTTACTCTCATGTTATCGGGAGGCCCGTTGTCAGAAATAAAAATACTTATGGCTCGTACACGTCTAAAATATCATACAGTTCACTTCAAAAGCAATGTCACGATGTCACAACTATTCATGATGTTTTCTGACAACGAGCCCCTGGCAGCCATGCGGAGAGCTATTCTATATTGTTGTGAAGAGATGTGGTAACGTGAGATTCTACTTGGGCTAATGCAGTGGGTATGCGGCAATGGTAACAGAGGCTCACGTAGAAGGTTATTAAAATATTATCATTATACTACTAAACACAGGCCGGGAAATGTTTTTTTAGGTGAGTGCACTGACATGTGTAATGTTAACGCTTACTGCGATACTGGAGGCGCAACTCCGACATGTGTATGCCGAGATGGGTGGTTGGGAGATGGCATTTATTGCTACCATGGTAAGTATTTATGGAAGAATATATTACAGTTACATATATATAT